GAAACTATAGACTGCTTCACTGAAAATTGCAACTACTGCTATTTCATGTTGGTATCCATTTGTTAGCTTTACGTTTATAAAATGTTCTTTCATTAAAAAATAGTGAGTTCAGAAGTGAGAAGATGGTTATTGTAGCATTAATGATAACGCATACTCTTTGTGGATTCTTAGTTGCTAATTAGAGATAGATCTATTCAAAATGCTTCCCTTTAAAGAAAAAAATCTATAACAGAAGAGGTAAATTAATATCAATTAAGAAAAATAACCTTGACCTATTTACCTTTAATTGTGAACTTAAAGGTAAAACTTTTGTAATAGAAACCAAAAAATATTCTTACCAGCAAATGTAGCCCATCTCAGAGAAAAGGATCTCATCTGCCTTCCTGACATATGAGCAACATCAGTTTTATTACCACAGGCTCAGGTACTGTCTGTTAGACATTACGAAATCAGAGGACCTGTCACATGAGCTTTGAAATATTTGACTTTACCAATAAGAAAGACTAAAATTGCTTCCCTGGACTTAAGTTCTTATGCCATTTGGATAGAGAAAATATATATATATTATTTTACATGTTTAGAGGCATTATCTGCTCATCCCAACTTATGTGAGGTATGCTAACACCAGGGCAGTGTGGTTCCAAGTAGGATAAAACTGCATTAAACTGGGGATTATGTGGACCAATTTATTATTTGTGGTTCTCCTCACATAATGATCCACTTCTCTCCACTGAAAACTGGGCAAGGCTTTCCGTAGCAGTATTTAGTAGTTTTCTAAGGAAAATTCCATTAGGAGTTTCTCCAGCAGCTTATTAGCCATTCAGTGGATGCTAATTATAGTCTTCATGCCTTCTGAATTAAGAGACAGGAAATAATTTTACATACATAAGCAAACCCTAAACTGATGTTTTCATTCTCAGAAACTTGATATCAGCATTACTTAGAAAGAGCAGTAAGTTAGAAACCCAGATGAGGCAGAAAGCAACAAACATGGACCCCCCTCAACTATTTGTAGCATAGAACAGGGACAAATCACATGTCTTTATAAGGCAGGACAGAAGTTTGTTTTTTCAGACCAGTTGCCTAACTTTGGCCAGAAATTTTATGTTAGAGAATATTGAGACACAAATGCAATGCTTGCATTAAAATATGCAGAGCAGAGTATATGGTCAAATTAACATGAGTAAATTAATCCTGAAGACTAAAACTTTGAAAATAGTGCATTGTCTGAGACAAAGTGGTAGAATAGTGTCGTTTTCCTTTTAAAGACCTTTGTACGTCATGTTGTCTGGATTGACTGGGCTGCTTCTCACAGATGTTTGAAGGTCTTTTCTTTCATGAGCTTGCTAGTGAACATAATGGAAGTTTCTCTCAGGTTCTTGCTTCTTAGAAGTACAGTTGACCCCCTGAACAACACTGGAGTGGGATTAGGGATGCCAACCCCTGCAGAGTCGAAAATTCAAGTATAATTTGTCACTCCTCGAACAAACTCAGTAGCCCCTTGGTACCTGCGGGGAATTGGTTCCAGGACCTTATAGAAAGTCCCTCATATAAAATGCTGTAGAAAAATGCATACAGTCAGCCCTCCGCATCCACAGACTCCCAACCACAGATGGAAAGTACAGTTTTCTGACTCCTGCGAACATGGCGCTGCGAGGGGTGCAGAGCGTGTGAGCTGTGGCCTGTGGCCTGGGTGCCCGCTGTGGCCCTGGGGCCTGAGGGTGGGCGCCGAGCAGATTCTGCACACCGCCCCAATCCGCTCTTGGTGCCTAAATTCACAGAGAAACATGAATGAATAACAACAGAAAATGGTATCAGAACAGTGGGAATCAGCAATTTTGCCCAAGAAGCTTTGGGAGGTGTTTACTGTAGTTTGCCTGAAGTTGGGACAAAATTGAACAAGCAAAATGAGTTTGGTGCTTTGAAAAGTGAAAGTTGTAGTGAACTCTGCTCTCCTCTATCAGGAGAAGTAACTGAAATTCATGAAGCTCTTGCAGAAAACCTTGTTTGACTGCTCAAGATGATGCTGGGTAACCAACCCCTCAGAACTGGAGGAGTTAGCGAAGAAGCCCAGGAGAAGTACATAAAGTTGACTGCGGAGTGAGAATGGAACCCTCTGAATAAAGCAGTGTGAAACTTAACCTAGCATAGTTGTCTTAAATTAGTAGTGGATAGGAGATTTAAAATAGCAACCTTTAGTAACACCAATGGAAAAAGAAACTACAACAATGCTTCTGGAAGAAAATACCCCTTTCTAATCACAGATAAACACAATATATATCTTCATAACACCGTATGATTTTTTTAGGCTAGGCTACAGTTATAATGGCCTGAATTCCTGAAATTATTTGTAGTAAGATCTAGTTATAAAAATTAAGTAATTCAACAATTACCTTATTACCTTAAGCCCTATATAATATTATAACTTGTTTACACCCTTCTCTAGATTTGGGTCAAACTACTTAATGATCTTTCCATTGGAAATAACTGGCAGTGGAGAATAGTTTTTGTTGGTTGTTACAGTGTCAGATGATGAACAATACTGTCTTAATTTTGCAGTATACTGTGTTTGCTGGTGCTGTTTTTATACAGTGAAGCAAAAGCCTTGCAGGAGAACAAAGTTTAATAATAAAACATTCCGTTTCTTCATTAAAAAAAAAAGAAAGAAAGAAAATACTGTTTTCCAATGGGTTTGTTTGAACCTCCGATGCAAAACTCAAGGATACAGAGGGCCAACTGTATATTTATTGGGAAAAAAAATCCACATATAAGTGAACCCCTGCAGTTCAAACCCGTGTTGTTCAAGGATCAACTATATGTGTAAGTCTTCCCCTATTGTGAACAAGATATTTAAGTAAAAGGAAAAAAGGAGCCTTTGAATCCCAGTACTATTTTCAGAAAAGTGATTGAATCTTGTAGCTATAAACAGGGTAAAAACTTTCGTCATTCACAGGTGGGAGAAATGAAAGGTTTAAAATGAGATTGTCCCATTGTGTTAATAAAACAAAGTCAGACAAATGTGATTGCCTGACGGGGTGATTTTTTTCCCCCACAAAAGATGAATCACTCAGTTCACTTAGTGTATAGCTATCAAATTTAGAAAAAAATATTAAAGGAAAAGTGTATCTGTAAAAACATTCATCTGCAAAAGTTATTCTAGGAGCTACAGTGGAAAACTAGAATTCTTACTATTTTATATACCGATGTATTTCCAGTGTTTGGTTTCATTTCGTTTTGGTCAGAACTAAAAATTGAACTGGATTATACAATTTTACCATGCCTCTATGATAGATGAAAGGAGAAATACGTAAAATATAGTTGTGAATAGAGCCTATAGGATACGGTAACTGCTTTCTAACTCCTCTGCTCTTTTTATTTTTTCTCAATGTTGTATATCTTTTTCTTAAGCTCTTCTTTAAAGGTAAATAGTTTTCATAGTTCTCTTAAGTCACAAGGATTTACTCCGAGTCACTGATGAATCTATGGCATTTTAAATCCCCTTAAATAAATATCTGTATTTGCAACTGAATCAAAACAGTAAAATTTTTATAGGGTTTGTTATATACCTATTTATAATTAAAATTTACTAGACATGAAGTATTTATGAGTTCCCTCTGAAATTATGTCTTTATGTTGTATAAATGTCCAAAATGTTATTTTTGTATTCTCACCATTTTCCATTCTCGCCTCTCATAAATAAGAAAGAATTAGTCAATTAACTCCTGTCATAAATTGTTAGATTCTGTTAGATCAGCTTGTATGACGATCTGACATTGCATGCAGCATAACCAAGATAAATCTTAGAAACGAGCTCAGCTTCTGTTTGCTAAGGCCAAATTCCCCAACCAAAAGAAGTTTTCAAACTTAATTAGCATCTCTTAGGGCTCACAAATTTCTTGAGTAAATTGCAAATTTCACATGCAGGTGAAACTCTCTTTCAACTTGACATAGAGACAGTGCTAAGTGAGTTTCTGTGAGTGAATGATACACTTTTGAGCTCTACCACATGTAAGGCACAGTGAGGCATAGGGGTTCTGATCCTTTTTGTTCCTTTTAGGGATCCACAATTAAAGATAAGCTGTTGTGTTTACCCATATTATGTGTTATTCAAGCTTTACAATTAGGATATGAATTTCTGTGTCTAGGGAAAAGTTATCACATAAGCTATGTAAACTGTGCTGTGGTACACAGATGAATATTAAAGTTGAATGCATAAAAAGACATGATCAAAAGCATGCCGACTTATTCTATTGTATGTAGAGGAGATAGAGCTGACAGGTAGCTATTCCCTGGTGAATTAATAGGCAAAGGACCTGCATTTTATTTTACTTGGTAGAACATATTCATATAATGAATGGATTATGAATGGAAAATTAATATTATAATAGAATTTATATGTTCTAATATAAACAATAAACAAATGTATTTATTCATATATGAGAATTTACCTTTTTCTGGATTTGAAGCCTTGTATTGTTAGCCAGAATAACAGAATTTTTCTTTCATTAAAAATTGACTTGGTTGTATCAATCATTAGTGGGATTTTATTTTTAGGCTTTCAACCCATTTCATATTACTTCATTCTATACAACTTAGCTATTTTCATATGTCTTCTCAGAACATAGTTAAATGTGTAATAAATTACATCTTTACTTGCTGACCCCTTTTGCATGAAAATACTCCAGAAATCTAATAAATGGCAAATGAGACTAGACTGTGAGCTGAGGGAAGAGGTGATGCCTTAAAGTAAAGCTCTTTCCCTGAATGTGAATCCTGGAATTAGAAATATTTCTCCCTAGTCTGCTGAGAAGTAGAAAGAATGAAGAGCAGACTGGAGATGGGGTGAAGCACTGATCCTGATACTCAGCATCATGGGCCTGTCGGTGCTACGTAATAACATGGGTCTCCTTGGATGGTTGGCTTGGCTTTGAAGGCGCTGTATGATCATGGAAAAATATCTGCCTCTTGTGCCAAGATCTGTAGAACATCTTCCTTCCCAGGAGCCACAAAACTGAAGACCATTGAAGGCAAGGTTAACTGTGGCTTGTTTAGAGCCTCTGGAAGAAAGGGCCCTACTCTTCAGACCTGGTTGACAAGAACCAATTTTTTCCTGTATAAATGTTGCCATGTAGGTCAGTATTTGTTTTAACTGACATGGTCATGATTTATCCTGTTTTCCTGTGATTAAACAATTTATCTCCAAATTTTCAAGTAGCTGTGTTTAAGAAAAAATTCTTAAAATCGGACAGAGAATGACAGTTATGCTTTTGTGTTGCAGATCCTGTGAAGCCCCCTGCCAGCTCCTTACAAGCACCAGCAGATTTACCTTTAGCGATAAATACAGCACCACCATCCACCCAGTTGGAGTCATCCTCTGCTGCCCCACCTCCTCCATACCAGCTAATTAACCTTCCGCCACATCTGGAAACTCTTGGCATACAGGAGGATCCTCAAGACTACCTCTTGCTAATCAACTGTCAAAGCAAGAAGCCTGAACCCACCAGGTAAACCACATATGCGTGTGTGTGTGCGTATGTGTGTGTGCGCGCACGTGTACATTTAGGAGTCTTACTTTGAAACTTTTTTAATCCTGATTTGAAGGCTTAAAAGAAACCAGCTAGCTATAGAGGTTTATATTTCAGGTTTATATTTCTCCACTCCTGACTTCTGATATTCAGGAGATTTTATTGAAGAAACACATTCTCTAGCATCTTGGGCAAAGAATACTTACTTGTACAAAAAGGCTCTTTTGGGAACCTGTCTCCTGTTGCACAGTCTTTGTTACAGACTCACAGTATTACTTGCTTAACAGATTTCACTGATTTATAAATGGTGATCTTGCTCCATTTCTTATGTGATTGTAAACCAGCCAAGGGTCATCTTTTGTTTCTGAAGAAGGAGAGGAATACCTACTACTAGAAGATTTTGAAAGCAAAACGATTCCATTGCAGTGAGTGTGTCGTGGTTGCTTTGGATCTGTGTGAGAAATTAATCACACAGGTAAAATCCCAATATAGCAAATTCTATGGAAAATACAAATTGGGCTTTAGTGAAATTGGATGAAATGAAATATATTGCTCAAAACTATGAAACTTTTGAATTTTCATCCCTACCAATGAAGCAGAGTGGATTTTAGTGCTTGACCAGAGGTTTCGGAAAGCCTTTCCCAAATCCTTGGTTTCACTGTCGTCTCCATCCCTGCTCTAAGACCCCTCTCTTTTTCTAAGCTATAAGATATTTTAATTTGATGTTGAGTAATTGGAAGGTTTGAGGTAATGGTGAGAGTTGGAATCAGAAAATTATCAGGCCTGTCTCTGCCATTAACAGCTGTGACAACTAATGATACTCAGTATATTTATTATTTTAACTTGCTGTATAAATGTGTGGGGGTGAATCGCATAGTAGATATAAAAGATGTTTTTTAAACAAGGTTTTTAGATACTAAGCATTTTTATAAGAAAAGTGTATTTTCATATAGAAAGTGACTGTTACTGCACTAGGAACATATAAAGCACTTGTTCAAAAAAATTTATATAGAATTTATTAAGATCCACAGATTAGTTTTCGAGAACCATTCCCAGAGATAATAGAAACAACTCACAAACATTCCAAAGATAGATTTCTATGTATTTGTTATAATGGGATTTTACCTGTAAGAGCAAAAAAAATTTTTGTAAATCAACACTAGTTAATAATACCAAATTCTAACTTGATTTTGCTTGTTTGCTGTGAGTATTTAAAATTAGACACTCGCAACATTGTTACCTATGCTACTAACTGAGATTTTATTTTTGGAGATACACAGTTATTTTTTAGTATCAACTTTTTAAAAGCCAACAGCTAAGTGACAGTTTTCAGTACATTTTCTTTTCATATAGTGTCTCTCATTGACCTCACTGATACCACAATTTTCTTGTTGTAGTAGAAATTATGCTCAGATATATTTTGTATCTATGTTTTGCAAAAGTGACAGTTAAATAACAAATATTTATGATATGCTATGCTAGGTGCTATGGAGGTGCAAACTAATTACATAAGATATAGCCCCCTCAGATATAGTTCCCTCCTGAGTTTACAAGTAAAGCTTGTGAGGAAGTCAAAACATGCAAGCATTAAATGTTTCTAGATAGAGGCAAGATATGACAATTGCCTCTCAAACTCTTGTGCATTCTGCAAGCCTCAGCTCAGACATGTACCCTAAACTCCCAGGCTGGATTAAATGCCTCTGTGTATTTTCATAGCACTGGGGTTGTGCCTCCCTATGTCTGTTTTATCACATAATCAGAAATAGATTGATATTTTGATTCATTCTCCACTAAAATATAAGCAAGTCAAGGGCAGGGAATGTATTACTCACTGTACTTCTAGCATCTTATAACTCACATGTTTGAATTAAATGGCGTGAACATTTTAGAATATGTGTAGATGTGTTGGAAGGAAATTTCTCCACTGGGAGGAGTAGGATTTGAATTACAGCTGGTTGGTAAGAGAAAAGGAGGCTGTCGTTAGTAAATTGCATAACAGCACCTTGAGGGAAAGGATCCTTGAGAAGGAGAGAGAAGGTGCCAGTCAATGAAATAAGGGAATAATCACTGAAGGAGAAGGAAAATCAGGATATCACTATATGGCCTCTCTGATTCCAGAGAGGGCGAGTTCCAATGAATAAACGCAATATACAGTGCCAGATGTTACTAAGAAATCAGGGAAGGTAAGCCATTAAAAAAATTATCAGAAGTTATTTTTTAAATTATTAACTTGAAGTTCCCACAGAACTTTGGACAAAGAGGTAGTTAAGGCATCTTGTTCAACATTAAGGAAGTGTGAATGTGCTGGTAGCGTTAGCTTCATTTTGGCTTGCACCCAAATTTTGTGATACCACCAACTATAGAAACTGAAAGTGTACCCAAAGCATAAAATAGACTCTAATGAGATTCCTCAAGGTTAAGTATTGTTTAGCATTGGCTAACTCAGGGGCTTGTGTTTTGATCCTCTTTACTGTATTGGCTAAATGCTGGTTAAAGAAAATTAGTAGAAAGGGAGATACACAAAACCTTTCAAGGTGCCACTTCCTTGTAGATCACACTGAATTTATTCAATACCAGGTAATCATTAGACTTTTAGTTTTACAGAAAAACAAATCTGTCACAGATAGGCTAAAGAGCAATGGATCACCTGGATGCGCTGTGTTGGCATGAAGTTTTTGCATGCTGTTCAAGGAAATGCTTTTCCTTGTTTCTATGCCTTAATCATTTACCTTTCTCTGAGTTTTGTACCTTTCTAATTCCAGTACTTCAGGGATTGTGTTTTATGTGTGGATTTAATAGGTGGAGTTGGGGGTGCGGGCAGGTCCAGAACAGGAATTATGGAGAATGCTTTCGGTGGTTTTGTGGTGGTGGTTTTGTTGTCTGGTGTATAATCATAAAATGAGGAACATTCGTGCTTTAAATCTCATGAAAAAAGCGAGGATTTTGATTGCTAAGCTATAGATACATGTATTAAAATGTAGTTTTATGTCTTCACTGTGCCCTCTTTTCTGCCATTAACAATTTTGATTTAGAGCACATGCGGATTCCGCGAAGTCCACCTCCTCTGACACAGACTGCAATGATAACGTCCCTTCTCATAAAAATCCTGCTTCCGCCCAGAGCAAACACGGAGTGAATGGCTTCTTCCAGCAGCAAATGATGTACGACTCTCCGCCGTCTCGTGCTGCGTCTGTTTCCGTCGACTCCAGCCTTTATAATCTGCCCAGGAGTTATTCCCACGATGTTTTACCAAAGGCGTCTCCATCAAGCACCGAAGCAGATGGAGAACTTTACGTGTTTAATACCCCGTCTGGGACAGCGAGCGTAGAGACTCAGATGAGGCATGTATCTATTAGTTACGACATTCCTCCAGCACCTGGTAATACTTACCAGATTCCACGAACATTTCCAGAAGGAACCTTGGGACAGACGTCAAAGCTAGACACTATTCCAGATATTCCTCCACCGCGGCCGCCGAAACCACACCCGGTTCACGACCGATCTCCGGTGGAAACGTGTAGCATCCCACGCACGGCCTCAGACGCTGACAGTAGTTACTGTATCCCGACCGCAGGAATGCCGCCGTCGCGCAGCAATACCATTTCCACTGTGGATTTAAACAAACTGCGGAAAGGTCAGCTCTAGTTGGCGTCTACTCTGTCAGAGGTTCATGATAGAAAAGTCTCTTTTTCTAAATGTTCTTTTAAGCAGAGGATGATGTTAAATGATTGTCCACTGTTTCTTCAGCCCTGCAGTTAGTTACCCACTCATGTAGCAAAGATACAGTCGCAGGTGCCTGGCCGGGTGTGTGCGCATGCGTGTGTGTTCTGCTGGAAGGGAGGAGGTGGAGGTTTTCATCCCTGAGGAAATGTGGCCTTAGCAACGCTTCGCTGCCTCAGGAAGTGTGCACCCCTCTCTCCCACTTTCTAGATATCCTGGGTGGGTAGGCTCTGATGGGTCAGAGGAGCAGGAAGGGGGCCAGCCACAAAGCCTGTCCGAGTCATACATACCCTTTCCTGTATTTGTGCGCCATCATGGCCACTTCCTTGTCACATCTGTTGGGTTCCATTTCCTTCCTTCCTAGAAAAGCAGCTTTTACGTCGTGCCGAATGAGTGACAGTCAGTTCCAGTTAAACCATTTTTTTGGTTTGGTGTTATTTACTTTTTTTTTTTTTTTAAGATTTTTATTGGGGAATTGGGGAATGGGAACAGTGCTGGGGAATTGGGGGAAGGGGAACAGACAAGTTGCTGTCTTTTTGTTCTTCAGTCTAGCTGTGGAGGACGTTGCTTCACTGGCCCAAGTTGGCACCATCATTGCGCTCTTCCCCGGCGAGGCAGATCAGTCGCCGGCTTCTGGACGGCCGCTCACTGCGGCTGCTGGCCGCTCACGCTGGCTGCTGGCTACACACGGTAGCCCATGGCAACCCACTGCAGCAGGGGCTGCAGCCTACCCTTGCCGGGGACTCACTGGCAGCCCAGCTCCAGGTTAAGCTGTTGTTCAGCATCTTAGCTGTAGAGGGCAGTGTCACTGGCCCTCATATGTGCTATCCGAACTGGGGCCCTCTGGCATCCCAAGCCAGCTCTTAACCACCGCGCCACTCTGCCGGCCCGGTGTTATTTACTTTTAAAGCTCCATATCTTCTCTCCCCTTCTTCCTAGCCACTTCACTTTTTCCTACACCATCTATTAGAGACTGACAAAAGTTATAGATCTTGAAAGGAGAAAAAGTGAGCCTGGGTTATACTCTGAGATTCTTAAAGTCCTAAAAATAGAAAACCAAAGTGCAAAATGCACATACCCTAAAAGCTATGTGCTAGCGTTTCTGGGTATTGTGATAGTTTTCCAACTGTCTTAAAGAACATAAAGATTTACTGCATTATAGATGTCCTTATAACAATACTTAATTAGCCATTCAATATCAATTTCTAACTCCCTTCTTGAAGTGTTGGTATAATCTGGTAATAAGTTAGTGAGATTTAAGTTAGGCCCAAGGTGGTGCAAAAGATGAAAAAATAGGAGTATATCTTTTCCCCATTTTTAGATAACCTGTCTCATCCCAGGCTTAGACATTCACTCATTGTCATAATCACATATTGATACTGGTTAGCCTATGAGTGAGTGTCTGCATTTTCTAGGGTTTAATGTGCCAATTCAAGATATTATTCTGTGAGCATCCTTTTTAAAATTTGTGTGTGCATACGTAACTGCATGTGTGTGTGTTTATAAAGAGGGACAGAGAATAGGTCATTCCTGATTACCCTGAGAACTGGCAAAGATGGGAAGAAATGTTGATAGTTTGTTCTTTATTTTAGATGCTAGTTCTCAAGACTGCTATGATATTCCACGAACATTTCCAAGTGATAGATCTAGTTCACTCGAAGGCTTCCATAACCACTTTGTAAGTATAATTGACCTTGGCATCGAGTGTGTTTCATTGTCAAAATCCTCGCGCTTAGTTCCCTGAGACTAAATGAGATCATGAAATAAAAGTCCCCTCAGATCCATATGAATAGGTGTGACTTACAATTATGTTTTCCTGTTTGACACTAGTTTTTGTTTATTAAAAGAAATGTATGTGTGTTTTAGAAATTCAAAAATGTATTGACAGTAGGAAGTGTATCAAGTGAAGAACTGGATGAAAATTACGTCCCGATGAATCCCAACTCTCCGCCTCGAAAACATTCCAGCAGTTTCACAGAACCAATTCAGGAAGCCAATTATGTGCCAATGACTCCAGGGACATTTGATTTCTCTTCATTTGGGATGCAAGTTCCTCCTCCTGCTCACATGGGCTTCAGGTCCAGCCCAAAGACCCCTCCCAGAAGGCCAGTTCCTGTTGCAGACTGTGAACCACCCCCCGTGGATAGGAACCTCAAGCCGGACAGAAAAGGTAAGGAGAGCATGGCAGAGGAAGAGGGGCGGGGTCTCCAGTTTAGATCTGCACCTCACTCTTGTGAAACCCAAAACAGAATTGGGACTGTTTTGGATTCTGAAGTACTTCAGTTACCTTCGTTGTTAACCTGTATAAGCAGTATTGCTGTTTACAGATTAATAATTATTATATCATGTGTTGATGCCCCGCTGAGATTTTTAAGTCTCCTATCTCTAGAGCAGAGGTTACAAACTAAAATACTCGCAAGGATTGGCAGGGGACAGGAGAGAATGAGGAGAAACCGGAATTTCCTTGCCCCATCTAGATGGGGTAACTACCTGCTCCCCGACAGTCCTGTGCTGACTTGTGAAAGTAATGTGGACCCACACAGGCAAAGCTTCCAATGTATCAAGAGAAGCCAGAAATTTCAGATTTTATGGATATTATCTTTTGATTTTTAAGTTCCGTCAGCTAGCTTAATTATTGTAAAAAACAAACATTGCAGGCCAAACCAAACACTTCTACAACCTACATATGGTCTTTGGCTGCTGTGTTGTAATGTCTGCTCAGGAGTATGTAATACCGAGGCAGGTCTGAGATATTTAGTGCACCCGACATAATTCTTTAAGAACAGTGAGGTTGCTTGTATAATCTTTCCATTCTGTCCGTATAACAAGTTATTAAAAATTATCCTTCCTCTGCTGGTGTGTAAATAAATGCTTCTAGTCTATTCTTTCATACTGGCCTGTGTAATGTTAAATTCTAAGGTGGCATGATTTGTTAAGAATTTGTTGTAGGGCCCGCTGAGTGGCTCAGTTGGTTAAGAGTTTGAGCTCTGAGCAACAGTGGTTCGATGCCCGGCCTGAGCTGAGCTGCCGCTGAGCTGCCAACAGGTGGCAGGATGGCTCAGCTAAAAAAAAAAAAAAAAGAATTTGGTGTAAAAGAAACTTCTCAGCCAAATTGGTAATATGTACCCAAGTTTTAAAAATCTGGGTTTGAGTGGTTAAAACCCAGTCAGATAGGTGCGTTGCAGCATGCAGTCAGTGTGATTTAATCTTGAAAACCAAATAAGTGAATATATCGGCTATGTGATAAGCGGCACAATTTCTAGGGTATTCAGCACATTTGAAAAAGTCTCATGTGCAGTATGTAGCTTTTTAAGAGCATGTAATGTTTGTGTATCTTTCTCATTAACCCGGGCTTAGATCATTAATATTAATTCTAATTAAGTTCCAGTTGTGGGGAACAGAGACAGATTAGTTGTTCTAGTCCTCTAACCATCTTACAATGACTTTACAGTAAAACAGAACAACATAGGTTCTTGGCTACTTCTGGAGATTATGTTCAGTCTTTTAAAAATTAGCTGAACTGTTGAGAGAGAGTCCTGACTCATTGGCTGGATTATTTACTTGGTATCTTTTCTTAGAAACAAAATGAACTGAGAAAGCACCCAGAATAAAATACCCACCTAGTTTTTGGCAAAATCTAGGAGATTGGGTTTAGCAAAACAAAAGAGTTTACTAAAATCATAGTAATAAGAAAAAAAGGCTTTTGCTTTTCTTTATACTAGTCTACTTTTTCAATAAATATGACATAAGAGAGAAGGCATGAGAGAATATTTAATGTTGCAGGACAAACTTTGTCAACCCACTTTAGAAAGCTATAACTATTTAAGAAAAACACATTTTAAAACCCAAATTCAAATCTTAGATCACAGTTTTTATCCTTGAAAACTTAAACTGTAAATACAAATGTCTTATTTGGTCATGAAATTCTTCTCATTACGCATATCATCAGATGAGTCTTTTAAATTTCTAATTTTGTGACATCAGATATGTGACTCAATCTAATATTCTGGTATCTCTTAACTAAACTTTATAAGAAGCAAACCTAATTCTATCAAATATGGCTTGATTAGTTTCAGAGCTCAGTATAACTAGTTCAGCATCCAATATAGCCAATTTCTGGAGTGCCTTCCTTGGAAGGGTCTACAATAAATGAGTGACATTCTAGTCTTGTTCATACCCCCAATTACAGATGTCAGCTGCTGTAGTTAGTAATACAGATGAGTTTTTTAAATACTTCTGAGTAATTGAAGCTGCAGAAATACATAGATATTCTAAACATTTACATTTAATACGTTTTCACATATCCTTTGCCCATCACCCAGCCTGCAGTAGCTATGTTTTCATGCATACTATTCCTGTCATGATACTATTTGTTTTGAACCAAGTTTTGTGTGTATATTACCAGAGGAGAAAAACATAATATGCATGCATTGTATTAAATATTGGGACAGCAGATGAGTCATTAGAAGTACAGGACAAATTATGTGTTGATTTAATTTCACTGAAACTTTTATATTTTAATGGAAAAGCAATTTTGTAAAGTTTAGCATACATGTCTATAAGATACATAGCGTGGCTTCTCTTAACGTCAGTCATTACATAAATCTACCATATTTAACCCCCAAACTTATCTAGGTTCCCCTGTTCCCATCCAGTCTGCTTCTAACATGATGTAGCAGCTATTAGAGCCTCAAATGCTGTCTTTACATTTTGTGTTGTTCAGCTTTATCCAGTCACGGCCTTCTGCAGTTGGTTCTGACCCTTAGTTATTGTATCGATTTTTAAAAAGCAGCGCAGGGTTTCTTCTGTTGTTCTATACATTAGTTTGGTGAAAGTGTCTTCAGGTCTGGGTCTTTCCTTCAGGTAGGAAGCATCCAGTAGCCAGGCGTGAGGAGCTTCCCTCGGGGGGTCTTATTTGGGCACAGAGATATATTTGCTCTAGACATTCTTCAGAGATCTTCTAAAGTTTTTGAATGTGATTAAAAATGCACATGTTTTCTTAAAATGGCTTTTATACTATAATGTTTGGAAGATGAATGATTGATACCAGGAAATGTAACTAGATTTTAATAAACGAACAATAAAGTTTGAACCTCAAGTTAGATTTTTGGTTTGGTGTTACAATTTAAAGCAAGTGAGTATGGAGTGCATTTTTACAGCTTAACCTTTGCATGCCAGTTTTTTTGGGGGTTTTTCCTAAATAGTCTTGACCTTCCAATATAATTATAATTACTATATTCTTCTTTATACAGTGAGACCATTAAAACAATGTGAAAATTCTTCAGTATGCTACCTCGATGAGTTTTTGAAATTAGCAGAGGATAATAATGTTGTGAATTATTTCTCCTCTTTCTTGAATTTTGAGATGCCTACTGGAAATAATAGTATAATCTGTAAAACTTCAGAAGAGTAAATAATTTAGGCTAAATTAAACCTGTAATACGGAAAATACATTTTCTACTTTGAGTTGAACGTATGGAGGCAGTACTTATTAAAATACTTAATAGTTATGGACTTTTCAAAAAAGGATTGTATCCACTTATTGGAAATGACCTCATTTGACTGACTGCCTTGACCCTATTTGGGATGAACAACTTTGGAAACAATATTCCATTGCTCTTTTTTTCCTCTTAAAGGACTAACAAAAAATTATGCCATTGATTAGACAAAACACCACCATTTTTAAGAGAGCTGCAGTTCATCAGCATAGATTTAAGTCCTACCAGTTATAGGCTATACCCTGTGGTAGGTCTTGGGTCTCCAAACAAAAGGAAGAGAAGGTGGCTACACCACCGGTTAGTGGAGGAGGTAGAAAAGTAAACACATTATTATCATCATTAACATGGGAGGGGCTGTGGTTGAGGTAAGCTCTTGGCACTGTTAGCTAAGCTCCCCTGAGGAAAATCTGAGTGGGTGAGTGGCAATTAAATGATGGTAGAGAAGGGGAGGATGGCAGAGGATCTTCTAGTCAGAATAAACAATATCCCCAGATCCTTTAGAAAGAGGGGAGAAGGGGGCTGTCTGAGAGCTGTGGGCGGAAGGGAGGGAATGAGATAGGGAGGGAGGGAGGAATGTGGGAACAGAGGGACCAGGGCCAATTGCCTCGCAGGTCCCTGACCCTGAAGGGATTATGGTCCACGCTGATGAGTTTGGGCTTTATGTTGAGACCACCCTTAAAGGGTTTTTATGCAGGCAAGTAATAGAATCAGGTTGGCCCCTAAAAAGCTCATTCTAAGATTTAAAAATGTGGTAGAAAACAATTGTATTTTTAAATGTAAAATGTTATAAAATCAGCACCTTCCTCAGAGAGCACTTTGCCAGTTGTCCAAACAGGGTTCCTAAAACTGTGGCTTGGTTTAGAGATGTCAAACAGAAAAGTTGTAACAACAGTCCTTTTCCTGGCCCTCCGTTGCTCCCTCAGTGTGGAGACTTACAGTGATTTTAGAACTTTTGAGGGCACATGGCGTATGAGTGGAGGTCACTTAGCCATGCAATGTGAGTTTATCACTTCTAGAAAAACCAGGTAAGTGAACTGCACATGGATGAAGGGACTTGCAGATTTTTTATTTTCTTGGGGGAATGAAAACAAACTATTATGTTGTCATTATAAATATAAAGAAAATTGATGTAGGGAGATTAGAGAGAACGTGCAATCCAGAATGATTCCGAAGAGATCTGCTATGGGAACTGGTATATAGGAAACAAAGCAGGTTTGTGGTGAGTCAAAGAGGATAAATTCCGTTTTGAACATGTAGTGTGAATGCCTGTAGAACACCCAAGTGGGTGGTTTTGTAGATATGTAGATTAGGATCTCTGGGGAAAGATCTGAACCAGAGATTAAGATTTACCAAATTGCACTCCAAATTAGAAAGCAGATCACATGATCCAGAGGTTGACAGTCCTGCGTGAGATAGTTTTAAGCCATAAGGGTTAAAGCACAGTAGGAATTTCACCAGTCATCAGTGCTGTTTGCTAAATGGAAAAAAAAAAAAAATGTTGCTTTCTTTGTTGAAACCTAGTCTAGCTAAAGCCAAGTTGTAACTTCCTTGGATTTAAAAGTTGATGCTCAAATGAGTTCTTCTGTTTCCCCTCAGAATTCGAGAATTGTATAACTCCAGAGTTAGTTCATTTTGGCCCTTACTCTAGTATTATTTCTTACTCTTCATTTTCACACCTTCAACCATCAGAAAAACATTCAAGTACTTGCCTACAGAAAACCATTCAAGTATTTGCCTACAGTCAGTAGAGAAGACAAGGCTAAGACAAGCTACTGA